TTATACAAGACCTGGGGTACAGGCCAGAGGCATGGGAGGGTGAGAGGATTCACCAGAGACAGAGTAGGGAACAGAACAGGCAGATGACCGAAATACACTGTTGAGGGGAGCCGTGGGCACGACAGGAAAGGTCTGCCCCACCATGTGGGCATCTCCCTGGTCAGCCAGGAATCAAACCCATGCTGCAGAGGCTGTGGACAGCTTCACAACACTGCTCTCAACCCTCTGCGCCACCGGGGAGGCCCTGAAAATGTAGTTTAAACTAATGGCAAATCCCCAGTGGGCTCAGAGGTGGCTGAATTTTGTTTCTCTGCTCCTGGTGGATTCCTGCCATTTGCTTTCAAGCACAGCTCTGACCGACCCTCCCAGCTAGGACCAGAAGTATCTGGAGCTTCTCGCTGGGCAGCTGAGGCCCTTCACCCACTGAAGGCTGGCATACCAGTGCTGTATCCACGGCCATGCTCACAGTTTCCTGTGCACTCACAGCTCTCGGTTACTTTTCAAGCACTCCAGTGAAGCACCTTTCCAACTTTTCCGATACGGAAATTTTATAAAATAGAAGTAGTAGCTAATGGTTTCTTAGAGTCGAATGGGTTTACAAGACAGCTGGGCCTAGTTAAGTTTAAAGTAGCAGCAGTGGAAAATGGCGGCTGTTGAGGAACTTCGAGCATCTGCAGCAAAATGAGAAAACTCATCCTGAGTGGTCTGGTGAGATAGAGTTTGGGAGACAGGGGGGCAAGATTTGAATCCCAGCACTGACAGTTTTCTCGGTTGCTTCATCTCAGACAAGTTTCTGAAACTTAGGTTCTTCATCTGCAAAGTGGGGATAATAACGCCCCCACCCCACCCCAGTAATGATCTCAAATGCCTGGCATACAGCTACCCCCGGAGAAATGATACCTACTCCTATTAGTCATCAGTAGCTGGATTACAGGGGTACTCTGCAGTGTGAGTTTGTGATGTGAGCTAATGCTTTTATGAGAACAGAGATTGGAGCTAAAGCTTGTCAACTGCAGGTGAAATTATAGAACAGGTAAAACTTGTTTTCCTCTGTGCTCCCAATGCAGTTTCTTCTGTGAACTCCCTGGTAGCCCACCAGCGCCTTTCTACCTCCCATAACTCATGGGTTCATGTCCTGAATGTTTAACCTTTTTTTTTTTTTTAATAGAGACATGTTTTATTTATTTGTTTGTTTTGCTTATACATGCACTGGGTACAGTCAGAAGCGCGGGAGGGTGAGAGAATTCACCAGAGCCAGAGCGGGGAGCAGAGCAGGCAGAAGGACCGAAGGACACTGCTGAGGGGAGCAGCGGGAGGCAGGAGAGGTCTGCGCGCCATGCGGGACCCTCCTCCGGTGGCCGGGGAGCAGCCGGGGATCGAACCGGCGCCGCCGCAGAGGCCGCGGGCAGCTTCGCAACCCAGCACTCAACCGCTGTGCCACCGGGGAGGCCCTGAATGTTTAACCTTTTAATCTATCTTTCTATCTTGGTGCCTGTCATGTGTCCTCATATTCCTTGGGATCGTATTCTAGCCCTAGTGACTATGAGATTGATGCTGAAACCAACTCTCCCTCTCCAGTTCACTGTCTACAGTAACATGACTTTATTCTTCCATTGTTTATTATAACAACCTGACTATTCCAAGACACTCTTGCCCAGACAAATAACTTGATTATTCATCACAGGAATTTCCCCAAAGACCCATCAACTCTTTAATAGGAAGTATCAATAGAAAGTTCACACCTGAGATGCTTCAAACCCCTTGCCTTCAAATCCTCGCTTTGCTGTTTCCAATAGAAACCGCTATATGATGAAGTTTTCCCATTCCCAATGAAGCCCATGCATTGAAAGACTCGATTTAAACCAAACTTGAAATTGTAACAGAGGTTTATCCTGTCCTCTCCCTCTTTAGGGTGCTATGGACACTGTAGGTAGAGGACCGTATGCACACAGCCCCTCTAAACCATCTTAGCTGCACATAGCTCAGACCTGGAAAGTACTGTACACACCACACACAAGCGCTTCTGGGGTGAATTTGACAGTGATACAGTTATTGCCAGCACAAAAAGATGGAAGCTTTCTGTTCCACTGGATTTCTAAATGATAGGATATTTACATCTTTATGGGTTAGGCTTCTCCTTCAAATAAAGGCCTGCCCTGTGTTTTGCGGAAGAGAACGGCTAAATTAAGAGCAGAAACACTTAAAAGTTTAAGAAGCGCTAGCTGCCCACTGGCTAGACCACACGCTGTGGGCCTGTGGCAAGGTCTTGCCCTGGGAAGTTGCCTCCCAGTGACAGGGATGGGAAGGTATTTGAAGGAAAATTTTAAAAACCAACCTAAAGCTGGATCAACACTAGCACATTTCACCTGACATGTTCTTTGAATATTAAATGCTTCAAAGTTTAAAAAAGTCTGACCGAAATGTTTAATGTGGTGGCTTTGGGCTGACCTAGCCTTAATCAGAAGCAAGCACAGACCACAAGACTGGAAACTCCTGGAAGGAGAGACATGCCTCACTTCCTTTTACTTAGCACCATGTGAAACTTGACACTAAACAGAGGACATGGTTCAGGATTCCGGCCCAGATCTGCCGAGTCCCACACTATCGTTCAGCCTACTGGGGTTTCCTAAGGTCTTAAGTGTTGAATTTTCTATGAGACACTTTTCCATTAATATGATACATCTGAAGGGCAAACCATCCTTTGTAACGGTTACCCAATTTTGGTAGACTCAGTGGTGGGAGTGTAAGAATCAGATTCAGGATTGGAGACCTGAAATCATATTCCATAGTGGGAATTTCCAGGCCTGCTTGGAAGCTGCTTTGTACCTCAGGCTGGGAATGTGGAGCCCACCCAAGTTAGTGCTGCCATTTACTGATTGTGACCTGGTGGAGTTTCTTAACTTGCTCTGAAAATAATATTAGTGGCTGTCTCACAGGGTGATGTGAGGATTACAGGAGTTACTATTTGTAAACCACTTAGAACAGCCTCCGGCATGTAGTAAGCACTATATGCACGTGTTATAAAATTATAAGTTATAATTAAAATGACAAAAGAAATTTTCTTCTAATAACCCTTATATATGAGATCAGTTAAATAACATTTTGAATATGTTGTACAAAATGAAAATATAGCAACTTAAAATACAGCAAGTTTTTTTAACTTACCTTTAACTAGAGTGTCTTTCATATAGCCTATGCCCAATAAAATTTAAAAAGATACGAAATGGCAACATTTGAGGGGAAGTTATTCCTAAAGTTTTCACTGATATACTTCAGCTCACTGCTTGTAAAGGCTTCTGTTCCTGTAAGGAGTGAGGGGACTTTGTCACAGGGAAGCAGCTGCTTCTTCCCTCCCTCCAAGTCCAGGCCAGGTCACACATGCAGGGCAACCCCATACAAAGGTACCAATAAATTCACTTAAAAAGCAGCTTTTCAGGCGCAGCAGACCTCTCCTGTCTCGTCCGCTGCTCCCCTCAGCAGTGTATTTCAGTCAGTCTGCCTGTTCTGTTCCCCACTCTGTCTCTGGTGAATCTTCTCACCCCCCACATCTCTGGCCTGTACCCCAGCTCTTGAATGCATTAATAAATCAATCTTTTTTTAAAAAAGGCAGCTTATCATCTTAATGAATTACCTTTCAAAAGCATTTCCTTCATGATTGTTCTTCCTTTCCTGGACCTCAGGTTACATCTGTCACCCACCTGGTTTGAAGGCAGGTTTGTCGACCTTGGCCCTACTTTAGTGGATCTGGTCCTACTTTGAAAGACTTATGTTGTCTGATGCTGGATCATTCTCACGAGTGGCTGCAGAAGCATTTGCCCGGACTTGGGGTGCTACCCAATGAGATGGCAAAGGGTGCTGGCCACAAACATTTTGTTCAAAATGATCTTCAAAGTATGGTGCCCCAACCTAGCAGCACAGGCCTTCTCTGAGAACTTGTTAGAAAGGCAAGTTTCAGGCCAGTTCTGGATTAACTGAATCAGAACCTGTATTTCAGCAAGACCTCTAGGCGATTTGGGTGCAAAATGAGTTTGAAAAGCTGTGCACATCATTTGTCATAACTCAAAGACTAGCGGCAAATGGCTTTCAGGCTCAGCTCTGAAATCTAGGCTGCATGGCCAGCTATGGGTGGTTTGTTTAATCCCAGCCCAGAGGTTGGTTTTGTTCTGGGCACACCTATGTTTCCTGTCACTTGTCAAAAGGGTAACTAACATTGGTCACATGGGATAAGAGACTAGAGCATAGGCCTGGCAGGCAAACAGCTAACTTGGGTGTGTCTCTTGATCCTCCTCCCCCACCTCATTTTTCCCATTAGGGACATATTGCGCGCTTGGCACTTCATTTTAACATCCTTACAAGTGCTTATTTATTTTCCTTTCCAGCTAAGCAAGGAGCTCTTGCAAGCAGAGGCCAGGGCTGGTTCCTCTTTGTGTCTCTAACCCTTGGCACAGGGCCTGGAGGATGATTGTGCTTTATAATGTGAATGAACTGAACTGAGAGCCCCACTTCTCTAGGAGGGAAGTTCACAGGATATCCACTTTCAGTCTTCTGTAATGCTCCCTTTAAATGGGGAAACAACCTGGGATTTTCTTTCCATGTACCAGAAGCTGGGGAATGCTTCTTGGGTATGTTTCTGACTGGCGTTCTACTCTGACCTTTCTTGCCAAATAAAACTTCAACTACACGTAAAGCAAGCTGATGAAAATCCGGAGGAAAGGGGGCGAAGAACTCAACTCACTGACTCAGTTCTGTTACCACTTAATCACTGCTGGTAGCAGTTGAAATTTCTGCGCAAATACCCCCAAGTGCTCAGTCTGGCATTTCCAGGCTCCAGATGAAGTTCTTCAAATTGCTCAGATTGGAGTTTTTTTTTCTCTCTTTAAAGAAAAACCATTCCTTCTGGAAGGTACTTGGTACATGTGACCCATAAAAGGATTTATCCTGAGGATGAGGCAAGCAGCAGGAATCCAGGAACTAAATTCAAGGAAGCTGGTGATGTGACTTTTTATTTTCCTCATGTCACTTCCCCCTTTCCCGAGGCTTCCTTGCGTTTTCCTGTCCTGATAGAATCTTTAGCTTCTTGGAGAAAACCAAAGTGCATAAAATGTTCTCAGAAGGCTGAATTGCTTTTTTTGAAAGTTTTTGTTCTGGTTTGGTTAGAAATTTGAGAAAGACTTTCTGCAGATTAGAATGCTTCAGTTCTAAAATTTTTCTTTAGGGAACTCCGGGCTCCAGCCACCCGAAAAAGAAGCACAAAGGAGAGAATGTTTAAAATAAAAAGAAAAAAGGAGAGAGTCAGGAAGTATTGTAAACTTAAAAATGTGGGACTGACCTCAGTCCTTTACTGGGCCCAGCTACCGCAGGATTTATACAGACAGAATCCACCCTGAGGTTGGGGTCCTGAAGAGAAGAAAAGCTGAAGTCTGTAACAGTGAGAGGCTGGGCCGATAGGGAAGGCGAATCCCGGACTTAAGACTGGTCACGGAGTTTAAGAAAGAGTGGGCCATATCTTTTGCTCCTGTTTTTCCTAGCCTCTGGCATAGACCTGGAATGAATTTATGGGTGACTTGACTTTAATTCACCACCATTATAAGTGGAAAAATGGGCATCTCTGAGAGGCAGTAAGGGCATCATTCCAAAATTGGGAGCCAAGTTTCCAACCTTTGTTCCAACCATTGAATATGAGGTGAATATCCCTCCCCTCACCCTACTTTCCTCTTCTACTCATCTGCCAAAGGTAGAACCTTAGAGGTTTGAGTGCTAGGTCATAAACACCTGTGTTCAGGAATGGTGGGCTAGACAGGTTTTGGTGATGGGCCTGGGGCACTTTGAGAGAAGGCAAGACTCTAGAGGCCTCCACCACTGTGCTCAGCAACAGCGGGTACAGGAAGGGAACAGAGCTGACTTTGACCAGTCCAGTCTACAGTGTCACTATAAAGAGCCACTTTTGGCTCATTTTTGGTCTGAGAGGAAGGTGATCATATTCACTGGACTTGGACATCATTTGTGTCAAAAAATAATGAAAGGGATAATTATTGTAATAGTAATGTTTTCTTAGGTGTAAGCCCAAGTACATGAGTTACATTTACACACCATTCTGTATTTTATAGAGTGCTGTAAACTTTACTAGAGATGCCTGTTAGTGAAAACATTGACAAAGAGTGTCTAAAAGCAAACTTCACAAACTTGATTTTTTAAAATATTCCACTTCTGTGAAATCACCAATAGAAGTAGCAGAACTGAACAGATGTAGAGTTTAAGGATTTTTTTTTTAACTACATTTATACTATAGTTGGTATCAATGGGCTTAGAGATGGGAATATATTTAAAAATAACCACCTGAAAACAAAAGAGTGTATTAGAGTTAACTACCTGACTCTCCTGCAAGGTGACCCTGGATAGAACATTCTCTCTAGACCAGTTTCTTTCCATGTGAAATACAGAATCTTTAGGACTATGTGCCTGGCACTTTGCTGTGCTTTTTATGTATATTGTCTTGGCACTTTCACAGAAACCCAGTTTACCACTGAAGAAACTAAGGCTCACAGATACCTGCTAATAAATGTTAGTGCCATTCCTGAGTCCATGACCTTAGCTACTTTTAGTAAAATATGGAAGTCAGTATACTCCTTTTGGTCAAAAAAGTTTCCTAAAGTGGAAGGGTCCTGGAATAGCTTACATCAAGGGGATAAAAACAAATGACAATGGAGAACCTTCCAGTCAAAGGCCAGTCAGCTTCCTGTTACTCCAAGCCCGAGACTGGTGTTTCCTATCATCTCGCAACAGCCTTCTCCTCCTCCCCACACCCACACATGGGGCCCCAGGGTTGCCTGTGAAGTGTGGCTGGGAGGCTGGTGTCTACAGTGAGAAGCTGCTTTCTGAAAGGGTCTGTGGCTGACTGTGATAAAAGCTCCTACACATTCTCCATCTTCACCTGAGGTGTGAATGTCTCTCAGAACAGAGTCCCACGACAACCCAAAGAAAACAATCTGGCTAAATCTGTAAAAATCTGTTTAATAAATATACATCTTAAAAGTAACAAAATAATTACCAACAAAATACACATGTACACCATTTACAGGAGGGTAATACCGCTGAAAGCGTTAACAACACACCTGACTGTTACTGGTCACAGGCCACAAGTGGCTCTCGGCCACTAGATCCATGGTGGGCCATCAAAAAAGCACAATAAATTAAACATAGTCCTTACAGTAAATGTTGGATGACTTTCTTCAAAAGCCTCACAAAGGTGAGATCTTTAAAAAAAATCCCATGACTTTTCTTGTCCCCCTTCCAAACCTCAAAAAGATGACAAGATGGCCAATCCACCAGTCAGATGGTTCAGGTCAGGCAGTGCACTGCGTGGTTGTCAGCACACTGTTAGATTTTTTTTTTCTTTTTTCCTTTTTTTAGAAAAATAAATTTTTTTTTTTTTTTACAAATATACAAGTCCATGTTCTTTTAGCCATTTTCGAACGCTCATAACGTCAGACGCTGGCCTCCAAGCACACAGTCATCATAGGGAAGCTAAAAACAAGAAGGAAAAAAGGCATGTTTTAATCCTCTAGAGCTTTGCCAAGGTGCTGGGGTCATGATGAGGAGCTGCTATTGGACATAACTCAAAGTATTCTTAGACTTCACTCTCTACGACCCAAACATAAATCAACCTCATGGGCTAAGAGTTTTCCTTTAATATTTCTCTCCTTCAAAAAGGGCAAGAGAGAAAAGGCACACTGGTGGGACAGGGGTTATGCACACTCAAGTTTGAACAATTATGTGGGGACCATGTATGAAGAGTAGCTACCTAGGGACTGGCAGGGTGGAAGGAGAATGACTGTTCTCGCTTCCTTTGTGCAGTGATGAAGTTAATGGAGGCTCACCTCGTCCTCTGTGAACTCTGACTCCGTGTCATAGCTGTCCTCATCCTCACTCTCTGGCAGCCGCTGAAGGTTTTCTAGGGTCAGCTGACACAGCTGCTGCTGTATCCGAGTGCTTGGGCGGCCCCAGGTGAGCTGGTAAGGGGAGTAGCCCTGGTAGGTGACTCTGTTGACATCAGCCCCACACTTCAACAGGAGGGACACCAGGTCAGGATTCTGCAAGTCCACTGCGAGATGGAGGGCGGTCCGGCCATTACAGGGCTCCTGCAATCAAAAGACAGCAAAATGCTAAGGGTTAAGTTTGGAATGTCTACTTATGAGAGGAAACAGCTGAAGTCTTATTGAGGTAGGCCCTGGAGCCTAATGACCTCCATTTGGAGGTGTAAGCACTCACCTGAGCATTGACATCAGCACCCAAGGACACCAAAAGCTCCACAATGCCCAGGTAGCCATGGATAGAGGCTAAGTGCAGACACGTGTGGCCTAGAAAAACAAAAAGAAGAACGTATAACCACCTGTTCCAGCCCTCACATCTCAAGCAAAACCTTTCACTATACTGTTAAGGGGCAAATTCTTATGATTTTGAAGAACCAAAAATCGGGGTTGTGAATGAACTTAACAAAGGCATCAAATAGGCCTTCTGCATACATATTTTCTCAACTGTCCAGATGCTGAGGGCTTCACCTCTTGCCTGCTTTCCTTAAGTTGGCCCACCTCTTCCCTCTGTGACCTGCCTTCTGAGGGGCAGGGCGGGCAGACTTACCGTTGTAGTTGCTGGCCTTCAGGATAGAGTGGAGGTGCTGGGCGCTACAGGCCTGCGTCAGGACTCCTACACTGGCCAGGCAGCCCTGCTCACAGGCAAGGTGTAGAGGGGTATTTCCTCGAAAGTCTCGGAGCTCAGGATCACAGCCAGCATCCAGAAGTGCCTGAGCAATTTCTGGCTGGTTGGTGATTACAGCCAAGTGGAGTGGAGTCTACAAACATAAGCGGGAACACAGGAGATAAGCCATGGACCAAACCCACGATTGGAGTTCCCTGAGTGTGGGTGCTGCCCCTCCCAGGCTCGAGGGACAAGGCAAAAAGCAGGGTCCCCAGGTGGGCCATAAAGGCTCATCAATTCACGGGCATTGTCTTTACTCCAATTGGCTGGTTCGAATGTCAAAGGTCACTGTTAATTTAGAAAGGATTGGGGTCACCTGTGCTAAATAGGTCCCCCTCCCTTGCTCCCTGGCGGGCGGCATCAGAGACGCAGGGGGCTGGGCGCGCGGCGCACCTGCTGCAGGTTATTCTGGAAGTTGATAAAAGCCAGGTCTCCCTTTACTTGACGGACCACTTCCATGGTCAGCGCCTTCTCTTCGTGGATGATGGCCAAGTGCAGGAACCTGCGGGGAGAGAGGGAAAAACCCCCAGGGCCGGTGAGTGCACTGCGTGGGGCCCAGGGAGGCGCGGGCTGCGGGGGATTGCGCAAGGCCGGGGTTTCTGGAGGCCGAGGCCGCGGTGTTTTCCGCGAGGTTATTATGAGCTGACTGTTCCTGGCAGGCGCCCAGGGACTTTCCGGGCCCCCCCCTTCCCCGGCGGGCGCCGGCCAGACCGCCCCGCCCTCTCGCCGGCCGGAACGCCCTGTACTTCCCCTCCGGGCCGCTCGGCGCCCGCCAGCGAGGCAGAAACTCCCGCCCCCCCTTATGCAAGCGGGGACTTCGTGTCCCCGCCGCCGCCCCGCCCCCAGCCGAGAGGACCGGGTCAGGGGGTGGGGGTGTGTGCGCGCGGCTGGACGGCTGCACCCCGGCCCCGAGCGCGCGCCCTAAGTCCCCTGCTCCCCGGGCTGCCGCCCTGCTTTGCACAGCCTGGGGGGGGCATGCACGAGCCCCCGGTCGGCGTCCGGGCGCTGCTCCTGCAGCATCGCGCGCCCCGCGGCTCGGGCTGCAGGCCCGGCTCCCCCCCGCGCCCGCCGCCCCGGCCCCGGCCACTTACGAGTCTCCGTCCTCCGTGAGCTGCTGTTTCCAGGGCTCGGCGCCCCGCGGCGCCTCCTGCGGCTCCAGGCGGATCTCCTTCAGCTCCTTCACCATCTGCTCGTATTCCTCGTCCTTCATGGAGTCCAGGCCGCTGTCGTGGCGGTCGTCCAGCACCCGCTCCTTCTTCAGCGCGTCCCGGGGCGCCTCCATGGCCCAGTCCTGGGCGAGCTCGGCGGGCTGGAACATGGCGCGGGGAGGCTCAGGCGCGGCTTGCTCGTGCGCTCGGGGCCGGCGGCGCTCGCTCCTCTCCTCTCCTCTCCTCGGGGCGGCGGGCGGCGGGTCGGGCAGTTGTGGGCTCCGCAGCGCCGCCGCGGCTCTATAAGCGCTGGCAGGGGATTTCTCCTGGGCGGGGTCAGGCGCGGGGAATTTCCAAGCCAGTCAGACCAGAAAAGAGAACTGGCCTGCTGCTTTGCTCGCGGGGAAAAAAGTCTCACCCTGAGCCGGGGTTCATCAGAGAAACTCCCAGAGATGAGCCACTGGGGTCATGTACAGGGAACTTTTTGATGAACGCTGAGTGGCTGGAAAGTCCTCCCGACCAGGCCCCCTCCCCCGGAACTTCCCTGCAGCCGGCGCGCTGTAATCCTGGCCCTCTGCACGAGCGCCTGTCCCCGGGGTTTCCCACGATCGATTTGATTTGGGGTCGTCGGCTGCTGAGATCCTTATGCAAGGACGCAGACTGGCTGGGCGGCTTCTTGGAGGGGGTTTGCCAGCCTGCCGGCCTTTTCCGTTTTTCTGGTCTTCTGAAAACGCGAGTGGAAGTGATGGCCGGTGTAGGGATTCGCTTCCCCAGAGCGCTCTGCAGGGAAGGACGCACAGGCGGTTTAGAAGGTCGTGGGTTGCCTCTGTGTTCCTGACATTACCAGGCTCTTTGCACTGCGGGAACGTGCAGTACCCCTTCCCCCCACAGCCCTTCACGTGGAAATTGTGAAGCATTGGGGTTAGAACTTAAAATGCCTTGGAGAACCCTCCAATCATCTCCTCAGGTTGAACAAGCCTGTTGACTGGGGGAGGGGAGAAACTCTGTCCTACCTAGATGGGGGTGGGGTGGAGGGAGGAGATGCTGAACTGACCAAACCCAAATAAAATAAGGTGCTAACTTTGCTAATGGAGATTGCACGTACTTTACAATAACAAAATAATTATAAGATATTCCCTAAGTTTTGGTGTGCTGCTGCAGAGAATAGATCCTGAGCCTACTTCTGGGTGCCTACCTGGGTGACTTTCCAAAAGCATTTGGAGAAGGAGACTGAGGAGTGAATTGAGTAGTGCCTTACCCAAAATCGGACCTTAAGGATGACTGGGAAAGTAGCTGCTGGGCATCCGGCAGGAGGCTCCAGGCACTACTGACATTGTCCCATTCTGCCCCTGCAGACTCCTGGCTCCTCTGCCCTGGGAGAGGGCAGCCACTGGGCCTATCCATGCAAAGTAGATAGCTGCTCTAGGTTCACCATCTTGTTCTCACCTGCAGAATGAGAATTTATGCCCCCCCCCCAACACACACACACTTTGCTAGCAAGCCATGGATTGTACTCATTCATCTACTTTTAAAACTGGTCCAAGCAAAGTAAAGCACCTTTGATCAGAATTATTCAGAGAAACAGCCCCAGGAGGACTCTAGAGCTTTGCAGAGATTTCTGATAACTATTACAATCATTTCTCTACTGAGAGGTCATGTACTAGCCAACCCTTCTCATCTCACCCCCACTTCCCCACTATCTGAGTGTAAGGGATCTGGGTAAATAGGAATGAGACAAAATATGAGGAGAAAAAAAAGTAAAATCAAGCAATAAAATGTTCAGGGTAGTAATGATCACATGTTAAAACAACAACTTTCCAGGGATAGATGCCGTTGTCTCTGCAGGTATATGATACACATGTTATTGGAACAAGGTAGAATAGCAGCTACAAGTAGGAGATCTCAATTCCCTGCTCTACCTGCAATTAACTGTGTATTAGTTGGAGAGACTGATTAACTTTGCTGTGGTATACCTGCTTTAATAATATCAGATTTGATGTTATTTTAATGTTTTTTTTCCAGCTTAAAAATTGTGTTACTTGGCCTCAAATGCACGTCAAACTCTGCTGACCATGGCTCTTGGAAATAATCACAGTATAAATATTTGGAAGGACTCCAACATTTTATGCAACACATAGTTCTCAGAACTAATCTTGTAAGATAGGTATTATTCTTACTTTCCTAAAAAGAAACTGACGTGCAGAGAAATTTACCTAGATACCCAGTAGGAATTTATGTAATTTCTGGCCCAACATTGTAATCATTTGACCAAAGCAGTGGTAGCATTAGCACTTTTGAAAACAAATTGTGAAAATGAGACTGAATACACTATAATTTGGAAGATACTCAAAGTATCCAATCTGTTAGGTACAAATAGGGTAGATGTTACCCTATGTGGGGATATTCATAGCTTTAAAAAAAAAAAAAGTCAAATTCTAAACACCTCTCTTAGACAAAGGATACTTTAGAAGGAGTATTTTATTTACAGGTTTAAAAATGGTCATTAGAAAGAAAATCATGCATAAATAGAAAGTATCGTGGGATAAGGTTCTTTGCATCTCCTTTGATGGCTTGTGTTTCTGATGGCTTTCAAAATGTAGTGTTCTTTATTCCTAGTTGTTGAACGTGACACCTAGCGGTAAGAGTCAGACCCAGGCAGTCCCTGATTTGTCACATGCTTTTTTGAAGTGTGGAGGTGCTGAGCCTTGCTGACCTGTCCCAAGGTGGGGGATTCCCAAGGAGGTACCTTTTGTTTTTCTGCAACCTGGGAGACAGTTTTGAGTAATGTGATCCAACAGGTTTCCTCGCTATCATATATAGCTCTATACAGTTTAAATCAACAAACATTACAACTCGGGTAATAAAGAGCATACTTGGAAATCAGAAAACATGAGCAGATGGGACAGAGGAGACAACAAAATTGATTTTTGGTTTAGAAAGAATTTTATGGGCTCTTGGGCACTTAGATTTCTCCCCACCTCATTCTCAAACATTTTAGCTAATCACGACAATTTTAAAGATGTTAAACCCTTCAATAACTAATTTTTAATGTCATTTACTGTTTTTCTTTTTAATGCAAAAGGCGAAAGAATGAATAGTTGACCTTGAGGCTATTTTGGATTTTAGCTTAGAATGTAGTCATAGGGAATGACAGGATGGCTTCCCCGTGGGCACCACCAGAGCCCATGTGTATTCTTCCTGGGTAGGAAATGGACATTTTGGGGAAGAACCCATTGCCTGAAGTGCCTGATGGCCTGACCGCATAGAGATTTTTCTGTAAGTTCAGCCAGGTAGTCCAACATCTTTGATTTAACATCAAAGGAAGGGTATCCTGTGCCAATTGCCTTAGCCAGTTAAACTGAAATTCCAGCAAATTGAATTGCTGAGATCAGCTACCCACAGCTCAGTGCTGCCAGAAGGGAAATATCAATGGATCATGACACCATCCTTGAAGGGAAGGGAAGCAGGCACACTCCTGATGGATAGATCCGCTGTGAAATTTCAAATTTATATTGTTTCCAGTTCCAGGCTAGTCTTCTTTCCTCCTTTGGTGGTCAGCAACTGCCTGGATCCACCCCCCTGAGAAGGAGCCGCTCATATGTTCTGGATCTTTCTGCCCAGGAAAAAGCAACTGTCAGGATGTTCATTCATAATAATGTGAAAAATAGATCCTAAAAGCCTGCCAGTGTTTTCTTTTGCTACAAATTTGCAATTTCATTGGGGAGCAAAGGGTCTCACACTCAAATATCCACCTGGCAGGGGCTAGGCAGTTTCCCTAGATGAGGGAAGGAGGCCATCTGAATCCAAGGGTGGAGATGGGGCCTCTTAACAGCCTAGATTCCAGAATGCGTTCCTCATACTCAGTTCCAACAGTTTTGGCCCAGCAGCACTTTTGAGTTCAGTCCTGATGTTCCATTGTTAAAGAGAATCAGAAAGTGGATTATGATGTGAAACTTTTCTAATTTCAAAGCATTGCGAAAACCAAACAAATGCATTTCTGCAGCTTTCGGTTAAACAGAGCCCACAGGCCCTCAACTTACAAACTTGTTTCCACCCAAGGTGCTTTCATGGCGCTTTGGGGGAAGGCACTGCCTTCCACTCGCCTGGTAACACAGGGTCTCTGCTCCTCTAATGGGAGGCTAGGGGTGCAGCATGTCTGTTCAGAAAATGTGGGGTACCCCAGGCAGGCAGGGCTGGAACCAGAGGCTCTAAGCCCTGAAGAGAGTTCTCCTTTCCCCAAAGAACTTTTAAACACTCCATAGTAAAATAAGGGTAACAAGTCCAACATGGTTCTGACTTTTCTTGCAAAGACTACTTCGATTTTTCCAATATGTAAATTCTTTCAATAAACCTCTCTTTGAGGTGTCCCTGCTTTGTTGGTGTCCCAGTCATGTGCCTCGCCTGCCTGTTGGGTAACCTGCCACCGGGGGAGGAGCATGTCTGCACGTGCCACCCATGGCCAAAATTCCAGGCTCTCCCTTTCCACTGTTTGTTGGCAGTAACCAGGGGATATCTATAGGTGTGTACGATTGTTCATGTTCTGTTGTGTTCAGGGAGGAGTAGTTGAATGAGGAAGGGGGTGGAGGCTTAACAGGACATTGCTTCCTCGGCCTGCCGGTGTATTTGCTGTTTTGTCTTGGGTGTAAATTCATTTTGATCTAGTGGGGAATAAAAGGGGACTTAGCACCAGGTCAATCAAGTACCACACAAAAGGATGGTGTGTGGCAGGATAACAGACATAATGATAGGCGGCCCCAGTCTGGGGGCACCTTCATCAGGTAAGGGATTCACGATCCCTCTTAGCATCAGGGCCTAATACCACCACTAGAAACTAAAGGAGATGTGGACTTTTTTTCTTCTTCTGTGGTATATGGTCTTTTTGTTTTTTTTTTTAAAGATTTATTTATGCATATAAGAACTGGGGTACAGGCCAGAGATGTGGAGGGTGAGAGGATTCACCAGAGACAGAGTGGGGACCAGAACAGGCAGACTGACTGAAATACACTGCTGAGGGGAGCAGCGGGTGCAACAGGAGAGGTCTGCTGTGCCATCTGGGTTGCTCCCTGCCGGGCCGGGGATCGAACTGGTGCTGCAGAGGCTGCGGATTGCTTCATAGTGCGGTGCTTAACTGCTTGCACCACCAGGGAGGCCCTGTGGTATATGGTCTTGGTAATGATTTATAAAAGTAAACAGAATCAGAGCTGCTAAAATATTTGCTTCTGGTTACAAATAGGGTAAAGATTTAGAAACCTTGATCCTCTGTCCTTTTTGGTA